GATTATATTGCTCCTTCCTAGTTTAGTTAGAAATATGGTTATGAGACTACTTATTTTGTATAGTGGTCTTAAAATCTGAAACCATTTCCAGACAAGGTCTTGAAATGAATAAATAGAGTATGTCGTGTCATAGGGATCATAGAGCCCGTGTGTACTAACATGGGTTTAAGCATTACACAACCATGAAGAGTGTTTTGAAAGGGTCAGCAGATGATGACATGTATGACCTTAGAGCGATACAAAAATCTTGAGTAAATGAAAAAATTAAAGATTAAAATAATAATAAAAACCAGGCATCGTGCCTGCCATGCTAGGTATAGCAATGGCCTCTCCCCCCAAGTTAGGTGAGCTGGCATCTTCTCTATGAATAGACATGGTTTTGCTAAAATAAGATGGATTTGTAATTGAGCCATCAAAACGGATAGAATACCACAGAGTCCAAACACTGTCCAATTAGAAATGTGTGGGAGAAACGTACCTTCATGGTTGCGGTATGGTAAGGTCTCCGTATCCTCAATGGCCGGTAGGATCTGAATGTTACTGAGAACTTCTTCTGATTCAGGTTTGAGCCAGGACCATGCATCATCCAAGACTTCATCTAATTGCTGCTGCGACAAAGTCCAGGTGTGCTTTAAATGGATGGATACATCTGTTACCCGTCGGATGACATCTGGTTAGCATGGTCACTTCTTCTGAGCACGAAGTTTTTGTCACTTACCATTTTCACACTCTCTTGCAGAGATTGTTGGACTGAGAGGATGCGGAAGGATTGCGGGGATCTCTAGTACGAATTGACGGTGTGTGTGACTTCGACTGCCACTCTCTCCCCTCTCTGGCACTAACCGCACATACTTCCCATTCCATTCCCAACTCTCGCCATCCACGCGTACACATATATCCATGATCTGGACAATAGCCATGACCTTTCTTCCTCCCTCCCTCGACTCCAACATTGCCATCTCCACGCAATTGCGTAACACCCTCTCACCTCCGACTCAAAATCCTTTAATCTCCAAACGGCCGGGCAAACTGACCCGCTGACACGAACAAGACCAGCAACAAGATCTCCCGCATTGATGACATCGTCTCCAACCAGCTCAGTAGAGTTCAAGCTGGAGTCTCCTCTTCGTAAGTCCTCAAGTGTAACACCTCGAGCTCGAAGAGTCCGGATAGTAACCTTTTGAGCCCGGTTACTCGAAAGATAGGACGCAACAATTGTTGTCTTCAGATACTTCCGGCTCTCAATCATCAGGAAAATCTCGAATTGACTCTCCCGGGAAGAGTCTGTCTCCCGTACGCTCGATGAAGTCGTCATGGAAGTCAGAAGGGTGTTTGTTGTGCCCTCGTGCAGGGGTTCCGAGTCTATGGAGTCCGGAAAGAAATCATCAACATCGAAACCTTCCGGTACGTCCTCAAACTCATCATCAAACTCTTCATCTATCCGCCTAATACCACCAAATCTCATCTCATTCCTCATATCATGATCATCTATACCTGAGCCTTCCAACTCGGAAACAGTGTCCTCGTCCACATCCTCTGCTTGTGAGCTGTGGATCTCATCAATCGTGATGTGTTCCTCGTCGACCTTATCATGGACTCCTAGTGTGGATGCAGGCTCATCGTCTGCCACAGGCGCAAGCTCAGGCTGAATGGGAATGTCATCAGCAATGTTCTCGGCAAGTGCATCGAGGCTAGTTTCTTCCTCGGAGCGTGCATCATCTGCGGTCATCCGGACCCCAACGTATTCCCCGGCGGGCCGTAAAAGATCATGATTAAGCTTTGAGAATACTTCCTCAAAGTCTACAACAGCATCCGGTCCGAGTTCTGACTCAAGGAGGTTGGTTGCAAGTTGGCGTGCTTCATTCCACTCGCTTTCAAGAGCAACGTCCCCCACATGTACTGAATCTGTCCATGATCGAGGGTTGCAGTGGTCAACACCGAGAGCATCTTTTAAGCTGAGCCGTCGATGCCCGCGATCAAGATCTGGGTTACGCTCATAGGCAGAATGTGTCAGGAATAGAAGCTCAGAGGGGGCTGATGGCCCAGCACACACAGACACAGACACAGATATGGGGTACAGAGACAAGGGTAAGGATATGTACATGGACGAGTTTTTGAACCTAACCCTAACCCTAAACCGGGAGAACTCCGAAATGTGCCACAGTGGCCCCACAAGCGTCTGCCACAACCACAACCAACACTCCCACCTTGTAAGGACGTGAAGAGGAAAGAAAAGAAAGTCCAAACAAATCAGCGAAATAAAGCGAACAGCTCCCACCAAATCTAGCAAGCTCCCACCAAACCAAACACCTCGCAAGCTAACCCAATCACGTATGAAGCAGCCCCAATCCTCCCTCATAAGGAATCACCTCCTCAGCGTACTCCTCATCCTCTGAACCTGAATCCTGCGGAAAGTGATCGAGACCGTCAAAATCGCCAAATGAGACAGATGTGGGAGTAGCACGATGAGAAGCGAATGCTGAGCCTGCACGAGCATGAGGAGGGGAAGAAGGAGGGGGATCCGAGACGAAAGCGGTGGCGGTTGCGAGAGCGGCAGAACGGTGAGGCGATGGAGAACGATTGCCCATGACGGAATCCTTGATGTGAGAAGGCATATCATAGATACACCGATAAGCCTGGTGACCTTGGCGCCCGCACCGATGACAACAACCCTCCTTCGACGGATCGCACCAGCGATACCCCTTCCCATCAACCATACCCGAACCTCCCGAGCCAGAACCAGAACCTTGGCCACCAAATCCCCCACTCCAACTACGTCCACCCGTCCTCACCGCAAATGCTAACCCCGATCCCCCTGAATCCTCTTGCTTGATGTGAGGCACCGATGACGTATTTGCGCCGGTTGATGAGCCGAGAACAGATTTGACGTGCGCGAGGGTGATTTTCTTGGTGGGGTCGGATTCAGCGGAGAGGATGATGGTGGTACGAACATGGTGGAAAGAGGGATCGAGATGCATGAGGATGAGATCGATGATTTCGTCTTCACCGACCGTGACACCGAGGGCCTTGAGCATGGCAATGGCAGAGGCAATGTCCTTGAGGTAGGAATCGATAGGACGAGAGGGGTCATGGAAGATGGAGTAAAGGGATTTGCGAGCGGAGATGCGGGATGCAAGGCTGGCCTTCTTGAAATGACCCTTGAGAGCTAGCCATGCCTCGGCAGCGGAACTCAGGTCCTCCACGAGATAGGTGTAGTCGTCCGAAAGTTTAGAATAAATGTACGCCACCATCTGAGAATCCAATGCCTTCCACTTCTTCAACTCTCCTTCATCTTTCGGCTTCTCCCCATCAACAACTCCAGGTAACCCGACCGCCAAAAAGAACATCCTGAACAGCTTCTTGAATGCCCACCAATTCTTCTCGTTCAATTCAGGGATTTTGTTGAGAAGAACAGTGTGAGAGCCAGAGAGAGACATTTTGAGAGGTCTGGATGTGTAGAGTGGGTGTATGGATGGTGTAGAGTTGGTGGATGGATGAGAAGTGATGATTGGGAAAGAGGAATGGGATGGATGGGTGTTGGGGAGTTTGGATGACAGCCAGAAGTAGAAAATCGAGAAAAATGCGAATTTTATTTAGGAAAGCACAGATTTTTAGAGCTAGTATAGGGCAGGGCCCATAACCTGTCAGGAATAGAAGCTCAGAGGGGGCTGATGGCCCAGCACACACAGACACAGACACAGATATGGGGTACAGAGACAAGGGTAAGGGTATGTACATGGACGAGTTTTTGAACCTAACCCTAACCCTAAACCGGGAGAACTCCGAAATGTGCCACAGTGGCCCCACAAGCGTCCGCCACAACCACAACCAACAGAATGAACAAGGGTACCAACACTCAGTTTTTCTGAGAGGTGTTTGGTGTCAAAGTTTCGACCGTGGTCCTGTGTACGACAGTCTGAGAAAACAATCTCCAGTCGATCACTCCCTTCCAGGATGATATAGAATTTAAGATTGGGGTTAATGAGCTGCATGCGAGCAATGGTGAATATGATATTCTTTACGACAGACTGTGAGTCAGTGTATAGAGCACCTGTGAAGCATGCTGTGCCATGTTTCATTTGGAGAGCAGCAGCGAGATGGGCGTAGACGGCAAGGGAGCGGACTTGCTCGGAAAGACTCATATTCACCGTAATGAATGGTGCAACAAAATAGTTCAGTGTCTTTGCAAAGAAAGACAAAACATGACGGTTGTGTGCATCTGTTGGGTTAGTTGGTTCAGGAAGTGCCTCCACTCGTGACAAGTGTTGCATCAGCGAGACTGCCTTTGGGACGTTCTGCTTGTCAGATGGGTCAAGCAATCTAAGAGCACTCTCTTGTGTCATATTTGAGAGTTGCGAAAGATTATTGAGAGTGATGCGAGGGGTGATGTTGGTGTCCTGGATCATGATGCCTGTCTGGTTCCGAAGCAATGTTGCAAAGCCTATTTTTTTGGGTCAGACAATTTCATCTTGTTAGGAATGCGGAAATACATACGTTTAATGATGTGCTTTGGGTCACAAGTCCCGACAAGCCCATGTTCCCCAGTCCAGCAATTGAGACCAAGAAGAGGGTGTAGTATCTTTCCCAAGTCAGAGTCAGGTGCGACCTGTTCAGTCATATAGAGAAGGAACTTTGCTAATCGAAATGTTGATTCACCATCTGTAGCGATAGCCCATAGTGGCCCATTAAGACACTCACCATATTTATGTCGTTGCCAAGCTGCGACAACAATTTTAAGCCACTTGGCGAGCATGTCACCTTTCTCACTTTTGCATGAAGGTGATACGATGATGGGAACGGGTGTATAGTGGTCAGCGCGAGTGTAAGGTGCAATTGCAAGGACTGTTGCATCTTTGCCATAACATACATGGCCGGGAGAGTCTTTTGGAAGATCAAGAGCTTTTTGGACTGCTTCCACAGATTCAAGAGAATTTACTTGGAGATCAACAGCATCGGCATGCTCTCGACAAAGACCCAGAATGCAGTTACGACGAGAACAATATTGGCACTTCTCGTTGATTGCCACACGATCCACTATGACAACATTTCCAGGTAAGGTTTCGCCATGAGGGATAGAGGGTGGTGGTTTAATCTCAGGATTAAAGAAGGAGGTGATGTTCGTCGAAGCATCCTCTGCAGATGGAGATGCAATGGAGGGAAGTAACTGAGGGATTTTATTGTGACGATTGATAGTAGTCACAGAAGCAAGCCCATGTGATTTATTAAGAGCATAGAGCAAGCGCGGGCCACCAATAGCTTTGACAAGGAAAGCAGTATCAAGATCACGTTTCGAGAAGCGACCACGAGGGGAGTACAGTCCCGCTAACGCATGCTCGAGAAGATGTACAATTGTAGGCTAGCACCTTGTTTAAGTGCAGAGGCAAGGAGGCGTCGTAAACCAGCTACCTCATTAGTAGACAAAAACATAACAATTCGTTGATAGTCAGAGAGCTTCTACATAGTTGAGAAGCGTCGCTCTAAGTTCCGAATCTATATGCGGCAAGCACAGATTAGTGATCAGATTAGGACATAAGAGAAGCACTGTAGCATTACTATTTACCTTCTGCCGGACACGACGCACTTGTGACTGCAGCTTTTCCATCATCGCACGGCACTGCACCTCATTTAAGCAGTCCCAAGGTGTGTGCGGCTTCACATCAACCGCATGATCTACAGTCCGTTTATATTCCTGAGATGAAGGTATAGTGGCACAAGCACGACACGGTGGTTGCTCTGTGCTCCCCCGTTACTGGCATGACATACTCGAGCTTGAGCACATGCGATTTCCGGTTGATGACTTCAGGGCGATGGTGGGTATTCATGTGACTCAGAATCAGTTTCCTAAGAAAGGCTCAGTTGCGTCCTAACTTGAAGTAGATGATCACGACCTACCGGTTGACTGAGATATTCTCCTCATCTAAGAGTGTATTCTTCATATCGTGTGAGCCCGTTCTGGGAAAGCGCTCTTGAACTCTCTCAATAGCATCACCGATAGACCCCACTGTATGGTGTTGTCCACGATTACTGTAAATCCCCCATCGACTGCGCAGCTTCTTCAGCACGGACAGTCTAGGTTATCAATAGTTTAAGCAGGGTTTAAGTCATGTCATCCTCACATACGCAGATTGACACTATGCACTATGCTTACGAGACATTGTACTTGTCTTCATCATAATGCTTGCGGAGATCTCACCGAGTTGAATGTATTATTAACTTACGAGTCGGAAGTGAGATACTACCATTCTTTCCTGTTAGATTGAGTATGGCAGGCAGTATGATAAATATAAGGAGACCAGAGCGAACAAAAATGAACAGCCCAGCGGAGAATGCCAAGTGAGCCAAGCTTGTGGTGTAGAACATATCGCGAGTACTTACAGTGTGGAGTAAGTAAGTACCTCACCGTGTAGAGATACACCTTCAACGGAGAGGGGGTTATTGCACTACCCAGGCTAGGATGTTTTCACATCTGTGGTAATCTCAACATAGCTTATCCGTATATGTGTTAGCAGAGTTGTATAAGCGGGATTTCTGTGAGGCGCAGATAATCGAGCACTCGAAGAACGACTGTGAGAAGCGTCACTGTCAATGATATTGCCCTCACAAAGTAATAGAAAAAGAAAGAGACGAAATCTATAGTAAGACTCACCTGTGAGAAGCGTCACTGTCAATGATAAAGAGACAAGGACGCTTCCCACAAGTTAAAAGGACGCGCTCCGGCGCTTACCGGTCTACTATACAGTTGGAAAACTACCTGCCTAAACGGGACGCAGAGGCGCGGAACCGAGGCGCGGAATCCGGCCCTCTGCGGCCCGCTGGCTGGCGAAATAACTAAAGTCATAACTCTGCAGTAAGTGGTCCTATCAGTCCCGGAAAAATTGCTAAAATATCAGGAACATTCCCTCTGTCTCGTCGTAATACTCCGGACACTCCCTCCCGACGAGGCAGACCTCAAGCCCTAAGCCCCATCATCTCTGCAAACTTCTGCACTTTAACCC